ATGGGGGAAAAGTGAGAAACATCTGTAACAAAAACATTAATAAATTAAAAATTAAAAAAAAAAACAACTAGCCCTGGCCGGTTTGGCTCAGAGGTTGGAACATCGGCCTGTGGACCAGAGAGTCCTGGGTTTAATTCCTGCTAGGGGCATGTACCAAAAAAAAAAAAAAAAAAAGCTAAAACAAGTTCATAGATACAGACAACAGAATGGTGGTTACCAAAGGAGTTGGGGGTGGGGGAAGGCTAATTGAGTAAGTCAAATGTATGGTAATGGAAGGAAACTAAACTTTTGTTTCCTAGGGTATACAAATACAGAACTATAATGTATACCTGAGATTTATATACTGTTACTAGCCAATGTTACCTTAGTTAAAAAAAAAAGAAAAAAGAAAAAGTCTAGATGCTGGGGGACATTTTGTGAATATTGAAACGTGAATGCATTATGTATGCATATTACATGTTTAATAATTAAACAAAAAAAATCTGGAGAAAAAAAAGAAGAAACTGGTCTTCACTAGCTTAAGAAACTTGCTAAAGTCACCAGGGTCAATATTAGGATCCACAGTAGATGCAGGGCTTCTGACTGAAAAACCAATGCTTCCACCTCTGGTAACCACAAATCTGATCTCTTTTTTTATGAGTTTGAACTTATTCTTAGATTCTACATATGAATGAGATCAAGCAGCCAATAAAAACCCCACGAGAAATATAAATAAACAATAAACCTAGGGTTTGTCCCACAATAAACAAGGTACATATTCAATAAATGAGGAAGAAAAGATATGTATTATCTTCAGATTTCCTAATATAGGCAAAATGTTTAGTGTTCAAAAGAGTGCTTAAAATGTTTGCATATATGTGTGTTTTCTGTGTGTGCATGTATGCTTGAGGGGAATTTGTGTTTATCTTTACTGGTATCATTACCTATTTGTCAATTTTCAACTGTGTGCTAAGTGCTGGAGATTCAAACGCAAGAAACATTCCCTACCTTCAAGCACTTCCAGTCTAGTTAGGGAGTGAGGGTAAAAGGACAGGACACCATATGCTGAGGGCAATTTGTGTTACAGGCAGTAAAGGAATCAGGGGAGATTCTGTGGAGAGGTGGTCCCTGAACCTAGGAGGGGTCAGGCCTGCCAGGCAGAGATACAAGGATCTTTCCACCCCAATGAGAGTGGGGTGGGTTTGAAAGGTAGTTAGGGCCTACATCCCAGGTTCAATTTGGATCTCGTCATTTTTGCAAGAGAGAACCTCTGACAGTTTCTGAATAGGGTGATGACGTGCTAAATTGAGTTTCAGTTCTTCTGAGGTACTGAAGACAGATTGAAAGAAGTAGAGCTTGAAGGAAGAGAGGTTGTTAGGCCATTGCTCTGGTCTAGGCATGAGGGGACGATCTGAGTTAGAGAGTGGAGTTCTATTTTTTGTTTTATCCTCACCCGAGGACATTTTTGCATTTATCTTCAGATAGAGCCAGAGGGAGAGAGAGAGAAACATCAATGTGAGAGAGACACATCTAGTGGTCGCCACCCACACAACCCCAACAGGGGCAAGGGACAAACTCTGCCCCTAGGGGGAACTGAACCCAGGACTCTCTGGTCCGCGGGCTGACACTCTAACCTCTAACTGTGAAAGAGACACATTGGTTGCTTCCTGCACGACCCCAAGGGGCCAGGGATCAAACCTGCAACCTAGGTACGTGTCCTATACTGGGAATCAAACCTGCGACCCTTCGGTCTACAGGCCGATGCTCTAACTGCTGAGCCAAACTGGCCAGGGCTAATTATACTATTTTTGCTTTATACTTTACATATACACTTTTGTTTGCATTAAAAGTATTTTTAAAGATTAAAGAATTAGCCCTGGTCAGTTTGCCTCGGCAAATTGGCCAGGGCATAAATGGGATTTTTAAATGTTCAGTTTCCATTTGTTTGTTGCTAGTGATTAAAATACAACTGATTTTTGTATTTTGACCTTGGATCCGGAGAACTTGCTACATTCACTTACTAGTTCTAGTTGAGGTTTCCTATGCAAACAATCATGTCATCTGTCAGCCTTCAGACCAAAGCAGGTTCGATTCCGGTCAAGGGCATGTACCTTGGTTGCAGTTCAATCCCCAGCCCTGGTCCAGGTTGTGCAGGAAGCAACCAATTGATGTGTCTTCCTCACATCAATATTTTTGTCTTTCTCTCCCTCCCTCCCACCCACTCTACCTGAAAATCAATGAAAAAATATCCTCGGGTGAGGATTAAAAGAAAAAATGATTAAAGAATTAAAAATAGCAAAATAATTGTTTGCACACTATACACACCATTCTTGTTGTTTTCCACTTACAATGTCCTGGAGATTATTCCCTATCAGTACACATAAGCCTATATCATTATTTCTAATGGCTACATTGTATTTAACTGTTTGAATACAACATTTATTCAATCAGTCCTCCCTAATAAAGAATATTTGGGTTGTTTCTATTCTACAAACAAGGTTGCCATTAATATTATTATGCATACATCTTTATATAGTGTGTCTTTAATATCAAAACTAAAACTGGAATTACCTATGGCAAGAAATGTGCTACAATTCTGAATAGATGGCTAAATTGCTTGTTCGATTTGAGACAATAGGACTTTAAGGCAATGATTAGAAATCCAAATGGGAATATCCTGCAGATATTGTCAGCAGAAAGAACCCGAGGACACCTATGAGTGTGTGTTTGACTGATTTTGCACATGCAAGGTATTTGGAACAGAGTAGATTGGAAGTGGTATAAAGGTGTAAGGGTGACTATGTATTTGTCACTTGAGAAAAGCAGTATTAGTGATCTAAGGCTTCTAGGCCTATTGGGCAGCAGTTTTATAGCAGATACATGGAGTTAGCCCAACTCTTGCCTACTCCCTGAGGGTGAGCCAGGAGAGGCCTGGAAGGGAGAGAAGGAAGAGACAACTCTCCTGACTTTGGGCATGTGTATTGTTGGCATGGCCTGAGACATCTGGACCAGATTTCCCCCACTGTGCTGGCCTGACTTAGATGCTCTGTCCTAGGAGAGTATAAATAAGGGTGGTCCTGCCCTGCCCGGTTTGGTTCAGTGGTTAGAGTGTTGGCCTGTGGTCCAGAGAGACCAGGGTTTGGTTCCCACTAAGGGTGCCTCAGTTGCAGTTTGTCCCCGGCCCTGGTTGGTCGTGCGGGTGGCAGCCACTCGATGTGTCCCTTTCATGTCGATGTTTGTCTCTCTCTCTTCCTTTCTCTCCCTCCCACTCTATCTGAACAAAAAATGTAAAGGTGACCTCGGGTGAGGATAAAAATAATAATAATAAGGGTGGTCCTGAAAATACTTTTTTTCTGGGAGAGGTGGAAGCCAGCTGGAATGGGACAACCTCAGTACCAAGATCCTTTGATTACAAATCATGAGTTCAAGGGAGATCCCCAATTGTTGGGCAAGTAAGGTGGTGTGAAGTTCTTCCCTCATATAAATAAAACTGGAGATCACACTATTTTCCTTTCCATCTAGCATAACCAGTGGGCTTTTCTCCTTTAGGTCCCTATTTCTCCTGTGTAATGGAGACAGAATTCTCTGTTCTGTCCTCAGGGCCTTCCCGGCAGGGTGAGACCAGAGTAAGGCAAGTGAGGCAGTCACTCTGGATGCAAAACCTAGCAATCAAGATAAAGAATATTTTAATGCAGTATTTTAAAAATTCATAATTAAGGCAAAAAATTCATGACGAACAAAATCCCCAAACCTTATATATTAAAGACAAGATCTCTCTTACCCTTCACTTTTACCATCCTGCCTCATTCACCTCACTAGTCCTGCAGGCTGTGGTTTGCCAATATGATTTTTTTTAAAGAAATTCTTTATAATATATATTTATTGTGGTAAAATATACATAATATAAATTTACCATTTTAACCATTTTAAAATTTATAGTTCAGTGGCATTAAGTATGTTTATATTGCTGTGCAACAATATTATTTTTAAAATATAACCTTAAAATGTTATATATTGCCCTGGTTTGGTTGGAGCTTCCTCCTGTGCAGAAGGGTTGCCCTTCCATTCCCAGTCAGGGCACATACCTAGGTTGCAAGTTAGATCCCCAATACCGGAAGGCAACCAATCAATGTTTCTCTCAAACATGACTTTTTTCTCTCCCCATCCCTTCCTCTCTCTAAAATCAGTTTTTTAAAAAATCCTCGAGTGAGGGTTTTTTTTTTAAGTTATATATTGTGCCCTGGCCAGTTTGGCTCGTGGTTGGAGCATTGGCCTGCGGTCCAGAGACACCCGGGTTCAGTTCCCACTAAGAGCAGGTACCTCAGTTGCAGTTTGTCCCCGGCCCTGGTTGGGTCGTGCGGGTGGCAGCCACTCAATGTGTCCCTTTCACATCAATGTCTCTCTCTCTTTCTTTCTCTCTCTCCCTCCCATTCTATCTGAACAAAAAATGAAAAAAGTTTCTTCAGGTCAGGATTAAAAAAAAAAAAAAGTTATATATTGTAATTACTGAGTTTGGAGGTGTCCTTTGAAATTTTGCATGAGAAGCCAGTGCCTCATTCGCCTAACTCTAGCCCTCACCCAGCCTCCGTCCTCCCTACCCTCTCCTGGAGCCTAAGAGTTCCCCTAGTGGCTATCAGGCCACCGAGGATGTCCATCCAGCCAGCCACTGGAGACTGGAAGACTTGATCCATGTGCATCTGGCCGCCCTCTTGGCTGTCCTCCTGCAACGGGACACACCTGGCGAACGCTTCCTCTACATGCCCTGGGCCACCTGGCTGCCAGCGGGCAGCAACTGGCCCTCCCACTCGGGTCTGCGAGGCTTCCTGAGGGCCAATGGGAACGGCCCCTCCGGGCTCGGGCAGTATCACGCGGAATGGCCAATGGGAACGCGGCATGCAAATGAGCAGGTGCGGTGGCGGCCGGCCTGTCAGGGCGGCCGCGGCTCAGGGGATGTTAGAGGCGCGCTGGGCGGCCGCCGAGCAGACGCCCGGGCTTCGAGCTGTGAGCTCCGGTCTCCCGCCATGGCCCCCGCTCCGCCCCCGGCCGCCTCTTTCTCACCCGCCGAGGTCCAGCAGCGCCTGGCGGCCGGCGCTTGCTGGGTCCGCTGCGGGGCCCGCCTCTACGACCTCACCGGCTTCTTGCGGCAGCACCCGGGGGGCGAGCAGCTGCTGTGGGCACGGGCTGGCGAGGATGTTAGCGCCGACCTGGACGGGCCGCCGCACCGGCACTCGGCCAACGCGCGCCTCTGGCTCGAGCAGTACTACGTGGGCGAGCTGCAAGGAGACCCTCAGGTACAGCGGTGCCCGGGGTCACAGACACCTTCCCCCGAATCTCTCCTCCCCCTGCTCCCCACTCCCCGCAAATCCCGCTCACCTGCCCTCTAGGAGGACTCAAGGTGACAGCCTCCGCCCTCACCTCCGCTTCTCCTCTCTTCTGTCCAGCAAGCAAGTCAATACCCCTGAACTCCTCACCAGGAGTTTGCCCTTCCTCTCCAGCCTTAACCCTGACCCTCTTGTATCTGCCACCTCTCCCACCACCGAAGTTACTCCTTCCTTCCTATTTGATCTTCCTGCAGCCTCTGCCGTCTGACAACTTGGACCACCTTTTCTCAGACCCTCACTTGCCCATTCTTTCTTTCCTGTTCCCTTATTGGCCTCTTCTTCTTTGCAACTGCTCTTTATTTCTGGTTGAATAATAAGTGTCAAGCTCACCTGTTCTCTTTTTCCTATCTCACCCTACTCCTGCTCCTCAAAGGCATGGATCAGCCTGGCAGTGTTGTTCAGTGGTTGAGTATCAACCCATGCACCAACAGGTCACTGGTTCGATTTCCGGTCAGGGCATGTGCCCAAGTTGTGGGCCCAAATCCCAGTGGGGGGCATGCAGGAGGTGGTCAACCGATGTTCTCTCTCACTGATGTTTCTATTTCTCTCCTCCTCTCCCTTCCTCTCTCTGAAATAAAATATATATATACATATGTATATGTATATATTTTATATATATATATATATATATATATATATATATAATTTTAAAGGCACGGATGAGTCACCGTTCTCAGCTAGTCAGGATTTCCTGGTCCTTCCCTAGTCTTGCTCTAGGGCTCTTCTGGGTGGGTGAAAATGTCAGGCCAGTGTCTTAGGTGGACTATGTCCTCCCACCCCTCAAACCTCCCTTCATTCCTTGTCTTGCCTGCTGGCATGGGTGTCCAAAAGGGTGAAATGAGAGGGCTAAGCCAGTTTTGCTGGGGAGAAGGGATTAGCACTTTGAGCTGCATGCTGCTGTACAATACGGCTTCACGATGGTAATTAAGCCTCTAAGTGAGCCTGGGGTAGGTTTTGGTATTCCCATTTTAGGATGTGGAAACTGAGGCTTCAAGTGGCTCTATAATTTTTCCAAGGTCAAATAGCTAGGTAGTGGGAAAACAAAGTGTATCTGATTCCAAAATCAATGCTGCCTCCATTCCAAGGATCCTTGAGCATGGGAGACAGCTGCTACTCACAAGGCTCCAGAAAGGCCCAGGCCAGAGGTCAAGCTGATTTCTTGGGCCTTCCCTAGGCCCGGCTGTAGGACTGGTGACAGTTGGGCCATAATGCTAGGACATAAGCCAGTAGTTGTTCCCTCCTCTTAGCTCTTGCTTTCAAGATAGCCCTAGCAAGTACTTTTAGATCCTTGGATGAAAGGACATGCCTCTTGCCCTGGCCGGTTTAGCTCAGTGGTTGGAGTGTCAGCTTGCAGACCAGAGAGGCCTGGATTCGGTTCCAGCTAAGAGCACGTACCTCGGTTGCAGTTTGTCCCGGGCCCCGGTTGGGGTTGTGTGGGCAGCGACCAGTTGATGTGTCTCTCTCACATTGATGTTTCTGTCTCTCTCTTCCTCTGTCTCTCCCTCCTACTCTATCTAAAGATAAATGGGGAAAAAAAGGCATGCCTCTCACTGTTCCATGTGGTTCCTCACTGGGCCATGTCACCTAATTCTTCAATCATTTATTCAGTCACTCACTTGGTTCCTTAATGGTTAGCAGCACTGAGCAAGGCACTGGGGAGGCACTAATGGATAAAACCAATACCAGTCTTTGTGGAGCTAACAGGCTAATGAGGTGGGGGAGGGAACATACTAATTGCACAGTAATTATTTAATTATCTGATGCTATCAGAGAATGGATCTGGAGGGGAGTGGTTCAAGGAGAGCTTTTTGAGAAAGTGACATTTACACTGAGAGGTGAAGTGTGGTGGGAAAAGCATTCCAGTCAGAGGGAACAACAGCACGTGCAAAGGCTCTGAAGGGTAAGGTGTTGGCACAGTCAAGGGACAGAAATAAAACGAATGCGACCACAAGCTGGTGGGCAAGGAGACAGAAGTGGGAGGAGGCCAGAGATCAGCTGGGGCCGTGTTCCCCTAGGCTGTCAGAATTTAGAACTTGATTCTAAGAACAATGGGAAGCCAGGGAAGGGATTCGAGCATGGGTGTGGCGTGATCAGATTTGCATCTTTAGAAGAGCACCCTGGCTACAGTGCCAGAAAGAGTGGAGGGAGCCCAAGTGAGTGTGAGGAGACCAGGCAGGAGACTGCTGTATAGCCCGAGGTGAGAGGTAGTAGTGGTTGCCAGCCTGGTGGCTGTGACTGAGGCAAGAATGGGATTGAATTTGGGAGATTTCATAGGTACAGTGCCAGGACTCAGTGGGAGCCCAATGTAATTTTGGAAGTTGATGTTTGGTGTTAGGTCATGCTGAAGGGGCAGAAGGTTTAGCCACAGATGTTACTAAAGTGCAGGAAATAAGAGGTTGGGGCCAGAATACTAGAGACTTATAGGCCTGTGATAACACATGGGAGCCATCCTACCTTGTAACTGTCCTATAAAAAGGAGCCTTAGAGTGTGGCTTCTGACCAGCCAGCACTGTGGTTTGATTTTGCTTTGTTTTGCAACTCTCAGGCATTGCACTCAGAGACACTGAAACCAAGTTTGCTTCCTACCTCTGCACTTGCCCCAAGAGTCCTGCTGTGGCTATGTTGCATGCATTCCTTATATCTAAGCCCCAACCTGAGGATTTGGGAAGAAAACTAAAAAACAACACACAAACCCGTGGCCCAAACTTGACCAATGGCTATATTCACCCAATACTCCAGTGGCCTGTCAGCTTCTGTCTGCTGATGTCTATTCTAGAAACTGGTATAGGATTGTCTTTAAATTGTGGGGGAAAGACAATCATAGGAGAAATGTGGAGAGGGGTATCCTTTCAGAGAGAAACCTTTTTCTTTTTTAATAATTTTATTTTTATTTTTTTATCCTCACCCGAGGACATTTTTTCATTTTTTGTTCAGATAGAGGGGGAGGGAGAGAGAGAGAAACATTGACGTGAAAGGGACACATCGAGTGATTTCCACCTGCAAGACCCAACCAGGGTGGGGACAAACTGCAACCGAGGTACGTGCCCTTAGCAGGAACCGAACCCGGGTCTCTCCAGACCGCAGGTTGACGTTCCAACTGCTGAGCAAAACTGGCCAGAGCGAGAAACCCTTTTCTTAAGGCCTGAGTGGAGACAAGACATTTCTGTTCTTCTCTCTAGTTAAGCCCTACTAGCAACCTCCTCGCTGCCTTCTCCACCTCCCTTCTCTCCTCCTGCTGGTCCAGCTCCTGTAATGTGGGGACCAGGAGGACTGTTAATGGGAAGGGTAGTGTCATGAACCCACTCTGCTGTTTGGGGCTCATTTCTGAACAGTGCCCCTCTAGGGGGTCTTTGGAGGGAAGCCTCCTGGAGCTCTACTATGAAACTTCCAGGGAGAAGGCCTGGCCCCATTGGTTTCCCCTGTTCCCTACTTTGCCACACCCCTCTGTGTACACACTTACACACACACATCCACACTCACACGAAGGCACACACACAAAACAAGTCCAACTTGTTTAAGCCAGCATACTGTGGAGATGACACAAGGTCTGCTGTCGCCATGACCTTGGACTTGAGGAAGCCAAGCTGCCTGCCTTGAGCAAGTGAGGGAACAATGGCTGAGTAGGGAAGCGAGGCCCTGTTCTCACCCTGGCCCTCACGTGCCAATAGGGTCAAGCTCCTCACTCCAAGCTTAGGGAAGAGCAATGTTCTTCCAACTGCAGCTCATATTGTTGGTAGGGCACGAAGTTCATTTACTGAGCTGAAACCAGCTTTAAAAAAAAGAAAGACATAGGAAAGGAAAATCTTTGGGTCCAACCTCCTAAAGCCATAGGTACTGTGTTTCCCAGACTTGGATCATCCATGAATCACTGACCCCATTTTTTCTGAATTGGCATACCACTTGTGCTAGTCTATTTAATATTTCTCATTAACTAGACTTACCTTTTATTTTACCATTTAGTCACTCAAGGCAATAATATCAGTGAAATCACAGGTTTTACATGCACTTTAAATATTGAGCTATTAAAATAAGTAATGCTCATCCTCATACCCCCCTAAAATCTTCTTGGAGTATATATCACACTTTGGAAAACATATGGAGCAGAGCTTCTTAACCCCGGTGTTTGTGGATCATTTTCTGGAGTTGATGAAAGAGATAAAATGGTGTGTAAATAGGCCTGGTTGTGCATTTTGCTGGTGAGAGCTACAGTTTTCATCACAGTCCAGCCAGAATCCTTCCCTCACTAGAAACCTGCCACCAAGAGGATAGTACCTATGAAAGGGCGTTTTTCATTCCTCCCCACCTCACACACAGAGAGCGGTCCTCCCATGGGCAAACATCTGACCATGGCCCAGATAAAGCCTTCTGTTTGAGAAGACCCTGGAGGAAGGCAAGCCTCAGCTCTCCAGCCACTGCTGTTGATGTCACCCTGTTGTCTGAGCGTCTCTGGGTGCCATGTGCTAATCCCACAGGGTGTACCTACCTCTCAGTGGCTGAGAAGTCCACAGATTCTGCCACATGTGTTTCTGCCAGGCTTTGGGGTCTGACCATTTAGAGCGCAGGGCATGGGTAATTAAATGAGGATGGACAATAGGGAGAGGATGTAAGTGCAGAAAGACTTGGGGTTCTCACCCCACCCAGGCTCCAGAACATCTTGAGCATAACCCAACTTGGAAAGCTTGTCTGAGCTGAGAATTCAGTTTTAAAAAATGGTGCTTGGGGAACTTGCCAAACTGCCCCCACCTGTAGAGCACTGAGGACTGTGACAAGTCCGCTAATGGAAGGGGGTTGAGATTTGCTTCACCTATAAAGGGCTTCCCAATTGAGCCTGCCTGGCCAATCAGCAATAACCATCCTTTGATACCTGCCAGGGATTTCCAAGCTCTGACTTGCTGTGGTGCTAGGCAAGT